AACATTGCTGCTAATTCGAGGGAGATTGGAGAGAAAATTGCAGAAGTTTCTCGGTGTCCCTGAAGAGAAGCTGCGTGCAAGAGAGAGGGAAAAGCTTGACAGAGATGTCCTTTTCTCCCCCAGATTAAACTGTTGGTTAGGGGGAAAAATCTGTACTTAAGATGGAAGATTTCTTGATCGTTTTGAATCTTTATTGGTTACATTACTTGTTAACAATGCATATAGTTACCATATGCATAAATACCTTGTCTTCAAAAGTTGAGCCCAACAGTCAGAATGATTATCAGAAAGAAATATTTTAGTAAGTGAATCTCAGTCATGAGTAGAAAAATTGGCATATACCAGCAACAAGACAAGACGGTTTCGCCAAATCTGTTTAGCTGAGTGCTCTTTCATCACTGTCGTGTCAAAACCCTCCTTTGTTTTTGTTATTTCATTTTTAATACCATTTGAAAATGCCAGCTTCCCATTATGTTAGGCCATCATTTCATAATGAATGCATCAATAGAAATGGTCCATAATTACTTGGAATGAAATCTGTTTACATTAGCATATAACCCTTTTTCATCGTAGCCATAATATGCTGCTTTGGAGGTCCCTTGTTGTGTTGCATCTGATGTAAACATGTAGATTTACAAAACCCGAAGTAAACTGTTGGTTAGGGGGGAAAATCTGTACTTAAGATGGAAGATTTCTAGGTTGCTTTGAATCTGTATTGGTTACTTTACTTTGTTAACAATGCTTATAGTTACATGCATATACCACATCGCTGAAACAAAACCTTGTATCTTTATTCTTGTCATTTTTCAGTTTTTGACATAATTTGAACTTGCCTATGGCCCTTCACTTTGTGTGTAAATTTCATGATGAATGGATGAAAAGAAATGGTCCAAAATTACTAGGAAAAAAGTCTGGTTCCATTGACTTACATTAGAACTAAAGTATGTTTTTTTCTTCTCCTGTAAAGTTACTATTTTGGAGATGTGAGGTTTTGTTCCTTGCCTCCAAAAGTTGAGCCCAACAGTCAGAATTGTTGTCCGAAACAAATATTTTAGCAAGTGAATCTCAGTCATGAGTAGAAAATTGGCATATACCAGCAACAAGACAAGGCCGTTTTGCCAAATCTGTTTAGCTGAGTGCTCTTTCATCACGTCGTATCAAAACCCTCCTTTGTTTTTGTTATTTCATTTTTAATACCATTTGAAAATGCCAGCTCCCCATTATGTTAGGCCATCATTTCATAATGAATGCATCAATAGGAATGGTCCAAAATTACTTGGAATGAAATCTGTTTACATTAGCATATAACCCTTTTTCATAGTAGCCATAATACGCTGCTTAACAAAGTTACAAGAATAACTATTTGATTTGATTATATTTCTATTGCACCTGTGGACTGGCCACTAGGGGGCCCTATAGAAAGAGATTGCAGTTAAAAATAAGAATGATTTTCACTTCTCCTGTGAAGTGACCATTTCAGAGAATATATTCTTGTCAACCACTTTTTATACATGAAGGTAATACCTGCTATTAAACATCCTATGTTGATTTTCTAATTGTGTAGTATGTTCATCACAATCCATGAGACCTTTCCAGTTAGAGGAGGAAAGTTTACCACTGAACTCCTGTTTGTTTGGCTTTTAAGAACTCCTCCAGCATTCCCCCTGGGAGCAAAGGTACACTCCACAGCTGGGAATCAGATTCAAGGCCCAGCTGTGCCATGGGCAGTCTTGGTCTGAGCTCCCTAAGGATGCAATTGGCCAGGATCTCCTCAGGACAAGAAGACAGCAGGGTCCCCGTCTCCTTTCTCTTCTTTTATGAGAAGACATGGCAGCACCTCATAAGCCTGTACAGTCTCAGGGCAAAGTTGAGTTTTCACCATTTTCATTAAAAATGGATTGAAAAGATGTGAGGGAAGGCTTTAGATGCCACGATACCACTTTTTCTTTTCCAGGACCAGTACTGCTTACCAAGCCCCTGAGTATCGGCCAGAACTGGAACCAGAGATATCGCTTGTTGACTGACTTGAGACAAAATGCTCATGAAATTCCAGCCTTAGAAAAAACAAAACTGATTTAAATGAGTGCCAACCTTGATACAGTAAAGTTTTCAACCTTGTTGTGTGCAGCTTTGCCTATTGGTTTTGCTACGGTCATTACTGCAGTGTCCTCCTGCAGCTCACAGTAGCATCAGGTTCAATATAGCTTCAAAAATATTAGCTTTTCATTACAGAAAACCTTCAGTCTAATGGCCAGAATAAAGTGCCACATGCGAGAAATACTGTTGGGAAAGAAAGAGGCAATACAGTGTGCACTCGCTAATTTAGTTAGTTTTCAGCCAATCTAGCTGAAGTTTTAGCTAAGTTACAGATCACATCTCATAAAACTTTGACTGGATTAGCTATTACACTGGCTAGCTAACATACTTGCTTTACAAACTACAAACTGACTGAGCATTTCAAGTTATTTTGCCTTTTTCTTTTGGACATCCCATATACTGCATGTAGCATTTCAGTTCTGAAGTTACTGAAGGTTTTTATTCAATGGAAGCTTCATTATTTAAAGGAGTGTCAAAGATGGCAGCTTCTAGTAGGGGTTTAGTTTTGTGCAATGCAATTTCTGCAACTAATAATGAGACTAAACTGAAATTCTCTTTGAAAGACTCAAAACTTGCATCCAAGCGACTCAAGATCTCTGCTGGACAGGGCCGCCAGAACCTACAGTGGTGAGCGGGCATTTGACCCACCACTTTTCACAGTACTGGGGTGACGCCCCACCACTTTTTAAGTTCAGGACACGCACATGAGACCAGCATGAACAGCTGACACAGTAAAACTCAGCAGCAGAGCTGATCAGAATCTCCATTTCAGATGGAGGAGCTTTCAGACCTGCCTTGGATGGTGTGGACCAGTCTTTAGTTTGGTTTTGATGTGTGACTCCACCCGTATTTTGGTCCACACCAAACACTTAACGGCGCTAATTCATGAGAGAATTCAACACCAGAGCACTTTTTTCCCAGTGCACATTTTCGCTATACTGTCTGCACAACCTGCTGCTTTAACATTTCACTCATATCATTCTTGCACTGTGAGCTGCTGTAAATAACGAGAGATAAGCAATAAAAAAATAATATACATTTGATTATGGATTATGGAGCATAATTTTGGCCAAGCATCAGCGACCCAATCGGTTAAATTTAAACTGGTATTCACATAGATGATAAACGTCTCTATTTTCTTTTTTGTTTTCACCCCTACTGCTGGATATTGATCTGATATTGTTTAGTAAAAAAAGAAATTAGCTTTAAAATTAGGTGTTTTCAACTGAGGTGCTTCACTTATGATCGCCATCTAAACTTACCGTGCTTAAAGTGCTCAAATACTCTACTACCCTAAAGGATGAGATACATAGCCAACAACATGACAAACAAAATCATCAACACTTATTCATAAATACTACATTTTGTGCAAAAGTGTGAAAGTTAGAGTATTTAAAATGGCTTTGGGTTTGTTCTTTTTGCCTATAATATCTGATCCAGCTTTTACTGAATGATGTCATCTCTGTTTATGCACTTAATTTAATAAAGGCATGAACTAGCCTTAGAAGTATGTAGAGCTGATTATGGGAAGACCATTTTAATCTAATCTGTAAAATACAAGAATGTGCGTTTTTCTTCCATTGTTGGCACCCTGTGATATGGATGGCTGACCTGAACGAATATCAAAAGACATAATAATTAAGTCATTGTAAAAACTGTGCTGGCTTTTGTGAATAACCCAGTTTCCTCTCTATTAGTATAAGTGGTGTTTGAAAGCCCTGGGTGAAGAGAAGAGTGCAACTAGGGAAGATTAAAGGCATTTCAATTAAGTCTGGATAAGCCTCAGTAATTCTGGTAGTTCTTCTAGATCGAGTTAAAGATAATAGTCCAAACCTGCTGTGACTTCTCAGCACTGTGACTTCTCTGCTTTAAATCATGTATTACCTGAGGTAATACTGCATATGTCAGACGCCTTGGAGGAGGAGTGCTGAGCTGGGACCAGTGAAATCTGTACCCTATTGAATACAATTATAAAGAGAGATGAGCTCTAATCCGTGATTGGAGTTGGAGTTTGTCCGAACCCTACAGGACCCGTCTGCTCGTGTTAGATTCTGACAAATTTGGTCAGTCATTTTCCACATATATGACGGGCTCACAGCACATCTCCCACTTTTAACAGCATTTCCCCTGCTTTGATTTTTCTTTTTGCTTCCAGACTGAATTTTGTTATACTTGGTCAGTTTTGGGATGAAAACATGATGAGTTTGGACAGAATTTTGTCATATTCAGGTCGGGTTCAGACAGAAAATTCTCAGGTTATATCCAGGTTTGGGTCAAACTTTCAGGCCTGATTAAAGCTCCTACTTGGAGATGCTTCATACATTTGCACTTTACTTTAAGCTCAAAGTGTTGTCAATGCTGCAAAATTTCAAAAAGGCTCAAATTTGATACCCTTAGTAGTTTATTATTATAGTTTCTAAATGCAGGCTTGTTTGGTTTTCATTTTAACCACACATATGATCACAGTATGCTTTATCATCACAAGTTCATTTGTTGAGTTGTGGTGATTCTCAAGAAAAGGTTCCATTTGAATCAGGAAATTAGGAAAGCAAAACAAAGAGTCGTTCACAGTTCTTTTCAAAATTCAATCCATTTCCATACCTAGCTAAGTAGTTTACTGGATTTGGCTGTACTGTTGTGACATTTGCTGTACATGAAAGTAAACGTCTGCTGTAAAGATCAACAACATTCCATGTAAATCTCACAAGTCAGAAAACTTAGGTAGATTTTAATTTGTAAAAACTGTCACATTTCCACCACTTAAAGTTCTTCTGAGACAAAAGTTTGGGACATTACTTTCTTTCCTGCATCTGCAGTGTTTGAAGAATGACTCAGTGCTTGAACTCTGAGACTGTTTTGCATAAATAAGCAGCACTTCTTGTGTTTTTCTTGCTATCTCTCAGGCCAGGAGCGCATAGGGACGGACTCTAAGTACGAGCAGGAGGGGAAGGTGCAGTTTGTGATCGACGCTGTGTACGCCATGGCCCACGCGCTGCACAACATGCAGAAAGACCTGTGTCCAGAGCACTCGGGCGTGTGCCCGGAGATGGAAGTGGCCGGCGGAAAGAAACTGCTCAAGTACATCCGCAACGTCAACTTTAACGGTGAGTGAATGGAAAACCCTCCTCTAGGGACAGATAAGATAAACTTTATTTATCCTTAAAAGGATATGTATTGGTATAGTATAATAAACATAAACATAATTTATTGTACTTAAAAGTATGTACAAAATTCTTAAGGCAGTTTTTGTTTTTATATATATACTAACATCACTTGTCATTAGGGGTGAATTAAGGCTGATAGCAAATCTATTTGATTCATAATGATACTGTGGCAGTGCCTCCTCTGCTCAGAGAGGACGTGGTTTAGCTGTTGAGGCATAATCGCTGCTGTGTTTTGCAAGTTCAAGTTCAGTACATCCTGCAAGTTGTATATTTTTCCAAAAAAAATGAGCGAAAGCTGGGCTTACTGCAGCATTTCCTTGTTCATTCTTCACTGTCACCTCTACAATATCATGGCAGTGAAAAAGAGTGACTGCCAGGTGAGTCAGAGAGTGAACACACTCAGTCAGAGCAAAAAATCTGCGCTTATAGCTAAACTCACTACCACCTAGTGTATCAGCACTATGTAATGACTAGTCAACTACTGTACCAAGCTTTCACATATGGAGCACTGACTTGTTAAAGTCTGATAAAATTAAATGAAACCCAAAATAGATGGCAGTTGTTGGGTTTATTCATGTGGCCTGAGCCACTCACATGCTGTGAGGCTGAAGCCAGAAGAGAGTATCACATGTAATTGTTTAAACATCACATGTATTTTTGTGTTTGTTTGGTAGAAAAATCACATTTCATTCTATTCATTCATTTCTTCTATGATCAGCACCACCATCTATCTTCTGCAGGACCCAGTAGGGTGTCTTGACACTGCCCTTAAAAACCACATGCTGACCATTTTGCTGACTTAAAGATTAATGTGGGTTAAAGCTCCCTTAACACTCCTCCAGCCACACACACCCACTCACCATATATACTGTACATGCACAGGACTGTGCAAAACTCAGAGACCACCCCTTATAAGGCAGATAATGCAGTGCCCTCCACAAATATTGGCACCCCTGGCAATCATGAGCAAAACTTGCTGTAAAAAACATTCCTTATTGATTATACTTCTGATCTTTTATTCAAAATATTTTAAAAAATCAAAGTTGTATTTGAAGAAAAAAGCCTAAATCTTATCACAAAATAAATATTTTTCTCAAAGCTACGTGTGCCACGATTGTTGGCATCCCCCATAATTCTTGTGAGAGGAATCTAGCTGCAGTGTATTCACATTCACATTTTATGTATTCTGTTACATATATGTTCTTCCTGACACTGAAAGCTTTAGCTTAGTACTGTAAATATAATTGAATGTACAAAATATGATGTGAGAAGACCTAACCAGCAAACATTAGATTGCTTTCAACCAAATCGGTCACTGAAGTATTATCCTTGATGGCAAGTCCCAGCTACCGTTCACATGCACTCTATAATTACTGTAAAATTCTACACTAACACCCTGATTGTTGTGAGTGGGCCGTGCTGCAGTGGAGTAAGCAGAACAACAACAATGTATGTCATCATAAGGGGCCACTTGTTTAGCTGGCAGTGCTGCACAACATACGTTTTCTGCATTAGCCCACACTAATAAACAAAGAAGAAAGGATCAAAAGCAATCACCTAGCGTGCCTTCATTTCCTAGAAAAAGCACCAGTTCAACCCCTAAAACAGTCCTTCATGAGATGCTAATTAATTAGTAATTGGTGTGTTTATAAACGCGTCAAATCGTATATGATTAATGTAATTGTCGTCACTCATCCATAGCCGTACGTAGATGCTCTCCATTCCTTACGTCCACTTCATTAAGATTTCTCTCTCATGTAGCTTCTGTTGCCTCTTGCTACTTGGGGGTTTTGGGGGAGAGAAAACAAAAGTCAAAGCAGAGCGAAGCTCCAGAATGCATCGACAACCTCCCCTTTTTATGAATGCCTATTTAAAAAAGTTGTAGTCATATAAATATATATTCATAATCTCATAAACCAAAGGGATTTGGAAAAAGAAGAAGTCAAAACTTTTCAAAATGAGACATTAATACTTCCTAATTAGATATGCAGATAATAGTCATATTTTTACAGGAGGGTGCTGAATGATCAAAGGGCAAACATGTCTTTGATGTGTGTGTGCCGATGAGGACGTGTTATCAGGGTGAACATTTGACCCGACATCATATTAAAACAATAGATTAGTAGATTGAACATGTAGATAGATTGAAACATGTGGAGTTTATGTTGCCAGTAAGGAATAAACAGGCAATACAGTCTTTATTAGAAATGCCAGTAACATTAATTTAAGGCCTGCTTTTCAACTATTTATAAAGTATTTGCTAGCAATTAATAATGACCTAATAAATAGAAACATATCGTCTGTAAATAAGCTAAGAAATGTAGTATAAATGTACTTATATGATGTATTAATAAGATTTCTGTAAATTACTATTATGAGTTAAGTGTTTATTAGATGTAATCTTTCAGTTACAAGCATATTTGAAATGCCTTTATATGACATGATAATGAAGGAGTATGAACAGACAATACTTATCCGAATTCACAGTGACCAGACCATGTTAGTAAATGCTAGCAAAGTGGTCACATTTCAGTTACAAGTGTCCACATTCAAGTTGTGTTTGCATGTCCTGTGAATCAGAGCTCATAAACAACTGACCACTAATCTTTCTCTGAATTATAGACCACTGGGGTTGAAAGTGTTATAATAAATTGCTGATGGCTGTAACACAAGCACAGAGTATTTATCAGTAAGTCAAGTGAGTTGAAGACTGAAAAGTACCTGAAGATAACATTCATCAACTTTTAACAATGTTAGTCAAACGAGTTTATATAACGTGTTCAGTAGGAAATGCCTAAAGCCAGTCATTTGATCACTGAGATTATTAAAGGTGGAGCTGTTTAAAAATGATTTTTAAAAAGTGTGCACTTGATGGAATGCATGTGAAAGATCTTTATTAATTAATATGACAGACCAAAACTAAAGTGGAACTTTTCATTCTTAATTATCAATAAGATGACCTGGAAATACCTTAAAAAATAGCTACATTAAAGACCAATATTATTCATTATTAATAACCACTTCCTCACTCTTAGCCTCAGTAAGAGCTTATAAATAACATATATTATACAAGTTATATACTTATATATTAGACAAGTTATAAACTGTTAAAGATGGACATTTTCTCTGAGACTTCAGAAAAAGGCAACACAATACTATAATTAACCTAAACATTGTTATAAATTGTATTTTAAGTTACTTTAAAATTAGTGCCCAAGTGTCTGCAGTTCATGAAATGGGACCATTTACTAGCATTTACTGCCATGTCTGTTCAGTGTGAATATAAATACTTATTACCTGTTCATACCTCTTGATTATCATATCACAAAAAAGACATTTCAGTTAGAGTATTCCTAACACTGAAAGATTGCAAATAATTAACAATGAGTCAACAGACATGTAATAATGTATTAACATGTCATATAAATACATTTATAACACATTTCTAATTTGCTTACAAACATTATGATTGTAATTATTAGTGCAGTGTTTTTCAACCTGTGCTGGTTCAGCCTAGGTGGTACTGCTAGGGGCCCATTGGCCATCTTTTGTTTTTTGTTTTGTTTTGTTTTTTTTGTTTTTAAACCACTAAAATTTGTTACAATAAAGACATTTAACTAAACAAAATTTTAAAAAAGAAAAATGTTGTTTATCAGCAAAAATACAAGCTTATATTTAGATGTATTTCTCTGTTGTCGGAAGAAAACCTTGTATCTCCAAAATGGTAACTTTACAGGAGAAGGAAAAAACATACTTTGCTTTTAATGTCAATGGAACCCGAATTTTGTCCAAGTCGTTCTGGGCCGTTTCTTTTGGTCCATTCATCATGAAATTTACACACAATGTAAAGAACAACATGCATTTTCGTATTGGGTCAAAAACTGAAAAATGACAAAATTGGAGATATGAGGTTTTGTTCTGACAGCAGCGATTTATAACTCTTTGATTTTTCAGGCAAAATCCTAACTACTTGTACTTATATTCTCAGTGCAGGTAAATGAAAAACATTTCACATTTCAGTTATATTGAACTCATCCATTATGGATAAGTAAGGGTTGAAAGGGTCTTTCAAAAGGAAAGATCCTGAGGCTGGAACATCTACAGGTGAAACGGCCACTGTACCTCAGACTGAGAAATCCAAGAGAACCAAACATAAACTGAAATGAAGAAAACACAGCAGTGGGTAGGCACGCACTGAGCTTTATGTGCATGAGAACTGAAAAAGCTTTAAACCCAACACCAACACTTGGAGATTTAACATAGTGAATGTGTACCTAAACCTATCGAACTGAGCCCGTTTGCAGCTTTGCTCTCTTCAGCCTGACGCCCAGTACTTGGTAGCTGCCACAGAAGCTTTTGTGATTGTTTGTGTGGGCCGCAAGCTGCAAAAGCTTGGGAACCCCTGTATTACAGCATTATAAATTGCTTGCTAACAGTTTATAAACTGTTAAAAAACAGATCTTAATAGTAAGTGTTTACTGAAACTCCTTGTAGCGCCACCTAGCTGGTGTACAGTTAATGGTTTTAGCACACTAACAAGCCAGTGCTGTACATGTTGATACAGTCAATTCTGCACCAGAATAAGAGTGAACTGGAAAACATCTCAGATTCATTTAAATGATTTTGACTTGCTCTGGCTGCTTCTAGATGACGTCATGCATCTTGCATCTATATTCTCTCCGCTCTACAGCAAGAGCTAATGATTAAATATTGAGTTGCGTGTCTCCGTTAAGCAAAACCCAGCTAAATGTGACAGTGCTCTTTCTTCCCCTGAGCTGTGCTTAAAGCTTTTCTGTTATGCAAGGAATCAATAGACGAATATCAAAACAGGTCCACAAGAAATTAAGAGCAGTTTGGTATGGAGCGCTGCTTTCTGCTGCAGACCTCACTGCACTCCTTTCAAAGAACACATCAGACTCTCAGAGGTGTGCATTTTCTGT